ATACAAGTTAAATAAAATTGCCAATCCAACCGAATGTTTACATGAATATTGTTTCATGCCAACTGGACAGCTACATGATTGTAATGGTGTAACTAGTCAGCAGGATTGTTGCCACACCAAAAAATCATTAAATAAAGAAATTTGACTACACATATTCAACCAGCTTTAAATTTGTAAATAAATGTAAATAAAACTGTGAAAATATTGTCTTTGTTAAAATTTATATGTTTATATGTATAAAAATGTGATGCTGGAAAATTTGGTGATCAAAAGTATTTTTTTTTGGCGATCAAAAGTACATTTACTCTAAAAGAAAATATAATAACAGAGCTCAATTTCATTATATCTAGATCAGACATGTTGAGATATAAAAGAAAAGCACTAATCAAATATGTTAACTTGATGAATTAATAAAAATTAAACATTTTTTTTCATATCAGAACTAGGTGAATATAAGATTTCTTATGACAAAACTGAATACGAGTGTTCGATAATTCGGGCATAAAAAATAGGTACATGTACTTGCCCACCGTTGTATAGTTTAAGTTTTAGAAAGAATAGAGAAATTGGATCTCACCTGATTACCAAATACTGCAAAGCTTGTAACTGTAGAGACAGAGTCTGCACCAAACCATGTAGCTGCCAAAAAAGGAGGAATACCTAGAATGGAAGAATAATCAAAGAAACAGATAAAATAAAGACCACATTTTACCTAACGTAAAAGACTGTGCACACGCACAAATAAACTGCCCAATAAATGTAATCCACCATCTTGTTGTTTTCACACTAGCACATTTAATTAATGATCCAACTACATTTAAAAATGCGCCCATTGAACATGTTACTTTTAAACCTTTTCGATCTAATAACCACATGGCTGGAAATGCGAGTGGTATATACGTGATCATATAGACAAGTGATGTCCATGTTACCATATTATTTGCTTGATCCTCTGCGGATGGTAAACTTTCATTATAAAAGCGTACTATTATATTTTGTATGATAACATATTCAATCCATTGAAAACCACTTGTTAACGAACACAAACAAAATATAATTAATATTGGAAAACGGCGTACGTATAAACGATAAGCAATAACTTTATCCGTTTGATTATCGGTATTTAATAGATGTTCATCCATATTCGTCGCTGACAGATGACTCATATCACTAGAATATAGAGCTGGGTCGCTATTTATACTTGGTACATCTATAACTGGTGTTGCAGGATCATTAATATAAGTCACTAAATATTAAAATAAGACACATATTTATTAATAAAAAGATTATCGAAACCGTTAACCAATTTCTGATACACTCGTAATTATTTCGAGGGATCTGACGCAACTTTAAGTGGAATCTCTTTAATTTTTTGTTTTAATACATTTAAAGAAGAACACACATACCATTAGCAAAATCCATATAATCGTCCGTCATTTTTTGGATTGAATAAACTGCGTGGTTGATGTCTTAAACTTTAGTTCAATATCGTATCACATTTTTAATGTTTTTTTATATCTCATTGAATAATATCGTTGTTTCAAATAAAGAATTGGTAATAATGCCAAATTGTACACATGTAATATGAAATGTACAATGATTATTTTTTGCCACTGACATGATGTTGTTTCTTTCTGTTGAAGAACGAGGTATAATTACCTACAAATACATTTAACCAAAACAGTCAACATAAACTGATAATAAAGTTGTGACAAACTACTAGTGAATAGGTTCTAAGAATACAATGATCCAGTCATCTCAGTTTCTCTGGCTGCTATATGACCATGATTTAGAATATAGATTCTGGGGGCCGTATTATAAAAAAACTTAAGTCAAATTTTCGACTTAAGTCCTCATTATGTGCACTTACGTGCTAATTTTATACATTTAAGCCTGACTTAAGTCTAGACTTAGTTAAGTTGGTGACTTAAGTTTTTTCGTGATACGACCCCCAGGTCTAGTTAGAACAACAACTGTCTTGAATTAAAAGATTATCAGTCTTCTGTACTAAATAATATTCTTCTAATCCATATCATTTCTCACAATTACTACTAGCTTTTAATTACTAATTTTAATAAACAAAAACAACAAAGACACAGCCCACACACATGTTCATCTTCACATCTAGTATGAAGTTATCCTGCCAATATCTTTCTCGTATCAAAAATGGTTCTCGCGAAGATGGTATCGAAAATAATGATCACATAAATAATAGAATGACTATGGATGCAAAAAATTGATTCTTTTTTTTACAGATCTCAAGAAGGAATCAGATGAGAGGTAAAGAAGCGTTCACATGCAAGTTCAATTCATTCGTATTGTATCTCTATCTCTACGAGCGATATCGATTTATAAATCAAATTCGATAATCTTGCTTTTACTTTTTTGACACTTATATTCCAGTCACTCAATTTTTAAATCGAGTTTTGATTTGGCAAGGAGTCACCTTGATCAACGAATCAGAAACTTAGAATGTACCTCAACGGCAAGGAAAGAAACGCAATTTCTCAGCATGGTAGTTTTTTTCCCTTTGCTCTAGTCGAAGAATTAGGTGAATATTTTTAGAATGCGAGAATGTTGAAGAAGATTTTTGCAAATAAACAGGATAAAACTTATTCTGCGCATATTCCAACTTACCCCTTGAAATTTTGTTGGTCAATCAAGTAAACAGCTGTGAATGCTCTCATTTTGGCTTGATTTAGGTCCAAATAGTAGGCTACGAGGAGAGACTGTCTACGACAATTCGCATTGATTCTGACCAGAGTTGCTAGATGGTCCGCATTTTGCGGACAAATTCCGCTTTCTGTAGTTTTTCCGCAAAGTTTTTCGAGGATTTTTTGTTTTTATCCTTTTTCCTGCAATGAAGATTTTTATATAAAAAATTTGACGCCTGGCAACTTTTATAAAATAGATGCGAACTGTTTTAGAGACTAAATCAGAAATTTGAGCGATAACAGAAAAACATTAGCTTATCTCAAATGCTGCTGAAATGGAGTGTGAAAAATAGTGAAAGCCTGTTCCATTATGACCTAGACAGAATAAGTTAGAAACCCAAAAAGCTATGGAAAAGGAGTATATATCCTTACGGCTTGTTGAAACGTAACGGCGTTACGTTTTTGACGCATTAAACTTCGATTATATCTCGGAAACTAAAAGACCTAAAAAAGTCATTCAAACGCCATTTGACGCAGCTTGTTGAACTCTACTTACAATATGAAAATGAAGTTTTCTGGAGGAAGCATCGTGCTTTGACAAGGATTTTAGTGTCGCGTCACGGCGTTACGAAAAAAGACCCTTTTTAAGAGTGCCTTTTTTTTGACCCCTTTTTTTGAGTAAAATCTTGATTTGTTGCAAAAACAGTCCTCCAAACGGAATAATTCTCGAACCGATTTTGTAGAAAAGCTCACGGGCTTTCCAATGGTAAAAAGAATATTTTATCTAGGTTATTAGGTTCGTCTAAAAAAGACAAGACAATAACGTAACGGCGTTAGGCACTTTTTTTGTCAAGCGTATTTGAGGTACTTAATGCGATCAGAAAGTTTTGGTATTCTCTGTATATTAAATTGGTCTACGCAAAAATCAAGTTGCTACATCAAAGTGGAAGCTCAAAACTGTGTAGCAGGTTAGAAACTGGACAACTATGTAGAAATTGTACATAGCAAGTAAACTTTGGTAGAGAAGTGAATTCTCTACAAAACCATATGTTTTGAGATTTGTTCTAAAAAAGTTTTTGGTCAAAACATTAAAAATTCTGTTTTAGAAAAGTTCAAAATCTGTTTTTATCATCAGAAATCAACTTTTTCCAAAATTGAGTTTCAAACGGGTTCTCAGAATGAAAAACTGCATTTAATGATATGTTCAAAACTATCGATATCGAAAAAATTGTTTTTCAGAAACTTGATCAGCGATGTGTACCGTTAAGTGGAAAACCCGCTTATTTGCTTAGCTTGCTATGCAGATATTTTCATATAATCTCTCTTCGCATAGCTGTTTTTTGTTTGTATTGTGTCTGCGTGATAATCGAGTATTCCTCGAAGTAGTGAACATGAAGACGCCAAAGATGACCACCACCAAAGACAGTAACTCAAATTGAATTTGTGATTCTGACTTCATGCAACACAACTTATCAGCAATCAAATTCTTTCATTCCGAAAATTTTTGTGAACTTTTTCAGCGTTTCAATTTTATTGAATTAGTCCAAACATTTTTCGCTCTCAACTCAAGAATCACTGCTATCGTCGCCAAAATATAAGAGCACAGACTGTTTTTGAATAAATACGTCATTTTGATCGATAACGATCTGTGGTTTTTACTGATCGAGAGAAGACGCTTTAGGCCAACGTTTCGTAAGCTAGAACCACCTTTTGAATAGGTCTGGAAACCGATTTTGTAGAGGATCTCCGGAAAACGATTCTGTGGTTTCCAAAATCAACACACGGACTCATCGATTTTTTCCGATGAAAATGTTGCACTGAGTGTCCTCTACAAATTTAGATGTGAGCAAGATTCGGTTTTTCCTTTTTTTGAAGGGCTCAGTGATTTGCACCGCACGAACAGGTTTCACGCTTTTTACTTTTTGAAAGGGTTAAAAAGAGTTGAGATTTAGATAATCGACTATGTCTATCATAGTGGCAATGTTTGTTCTTGGCTATCGCTCGATTAATTTATCTCCAAAATCAACTTTTTGCTTGCGGGCCACTAAAGCTCGAGTTGACGTGGCTCCGTCAGTCTGAGTCAAAAACCGCTCAAACTTTCAGAAGAGACTCAAAAACAGCTTGACAAATAATATTAAAATATAACAGTTTCTAATATATTATTTACTAAGGTCGGAATTTCTAGAAACCTTGCAGAAAACCAAACATTTTAAAACTCATTACATTTGGTTGTGTGATGGTGTGTTTCCGGAGCAGAGTCTGACGGGACAGGACGGCGAAAACCCAGGTACGAAGAAGCCATCCGTCTGGTTCCATCAGCATTGTTCAATGTACATTTTTGGCCAAGAGCAAAACCTATCCAGGTAAAAACTTTTTCCATTGAGCTGAAAACAGCTTCGCATTCACAAGAGGCTGGAAGCGCTTATTTTTTTCAATTTCAAGTGCTAACCAGTTGCTTCCCACGTGGAAAGTGCTTTCAAGCACTTGAAAGAGTGTAGAGAGATCGCGAAGTCAGAAGCACTTGAAAGCGTTTCCTCATGGAAACATCGAGCAAATCTTAAGTCAAGTCATATGGATAATAGCTTCTTTCTTTAACCAGTGTGGTCTGCACTGGAGAAACTATAGAATCACTGGCGAATCTACAGATTCGCTAATTCTGTACATTCTCCACAACGTATGTATGCCAATGTATGTATCCACAATACAATCAAAGGAATCGAACTTAAACACATTAAAATAAATTAGAATTTAAATACGGCCGAACGGCTGAACAACATGCAACCGGCCGGCATACATTTTGACATGCGCCCAAAGTACTAATTTACTAATCAAAATCCAAACTATTTTCTAAATTACAGACTCAGATACTTGAATAACTACTATTTGAGATCAGTAGATGTGCTTGAATTATCACTGAATTTGTATATTTGCGCTTGAGCAGATACGAACGAACAGACTGAAAGAAGAGGAATGGATAGGTAGATTACATAATTATTGGTTAATTGTTAATTAATTTCTTCCAGAATCTCTAGGACGAATTTTGAAAGTGTAGAGTGGGAGGCAAAACTGGGAAAAAACTGGCTGAGACGCCAGAAACCTTTGGCGGCAGGGACGACTATGCAGCTGTGCATATATTAAAAAGTAAAGGTTTATGAAATGTCGACAAGGTCACTGTTTACGAGAGAAAAATGTATGAAAGAAGTCTGAATCAGAGTCAGAACGATGTCAGCACCCTAACCGACAGAAATCGGTCCGGTCCTTTTAAAGGAAACTTTTCGGTTTGTACGCGGATGAATGAAAGCAGCTGGTGTCATATAATTTAGTTATATTATCACAACAGCCAGTTTTTTGACCGTTTCTCACGTTTTGAACAATAGCTTCTAAACCGGCCGGTTTTTTACCGAAATTGAAGCGTTTCTTCACAACCGGTCACCGACACAGTTGGAAAATTCTATGCCACTTCCAGCTTTGATCCGAGTAATGAGAAATCAGTAAACAGAAAACTGACGCTTTTACTCGTTTGTCGTTCCAGTCTGTTTGCAATATTGAGCTGTAGATACTTCAGTTTTCTGTATGATTTAAGAGTCTGCATTTCTAATGAAAGGGTTTTTTACCTTGCATTGTTGTTGTTTTTATTGTTGCACTGCTAGTTGTCTTGACAATTGTTTTTTGGAAAATTATGGAATGTTTTCTTTTATAAAAGAAATTTTAAGGAACTCCTGGCACTCACAAAAACGTGGTGCTTCTGTTTGAACCTAAAACTCAATGATTTGTGGTATTAGG